ATGATACCTTTCCCGAGATTGAAGCAGATGCAAAAGCATTTGTCGTTCAAGCGTGTTCACAAAAGTCAGGCGAATTCAAGGCTTTGGATTTGGCTCAGTTTATTGATGAAAAATATTATGAATTAACTATTTTTCTTTTCTCCTTTCCGCGCGCACATTTTGTCTTGTTTTTCTCTTTTGTATAGCTACATTCGAACATCGAATAACGGAGAAAACAAAATTTATTCAAAATGCACTTTCTTTCATAGAAACGTCTCAAAGTTCAAATCCAGCACAAAATAAAGTGATAAACTCAAATTTTTACATGAAAATATCGTTTCTGTCGTTTTTTATACTTTTCTCTAACAAACATAATTGCTCATACAACTTTTCTCACCAAAAAAATTAAGATTTCAATACTAAAAATTTCCCTATCTCATTGTATTTGTTTTGACCTGAGAAGCAAACAAATGTGATTGAATATTTTTATCATTAAAATCTTAATTTTTTTAGAAATAAGAAACGGATTCGCCTTGAAATTCTGCATATACCATCGTAGTTTCATCAAGTTTTATTTGGCTTGGAGATTGCACATAATTTTCTAATGATTTTGTGATTCTCAGGCCAATCGATTTTCGCTAAAATTTGTGCAAATAACGTTATAGCAACGGTACATAATGACGACAAGACAGATACAATCGTGCAATGAACTAACAGTTGTTAGAAGATAGAACGGTTTCAGATACATCCAGACAACAAACTTCGACAAACAAAATACGTATAGCATTCTTTATCTCTTAGAACATATTTATCTACTATCTAAGTTCTAGTGTGGTCTGACACTGTACGCAAAACTTATTGGCCGTTACTGATGTAGAGGTTTTATTGCTTGGACACATATAATTAGATTTGTGCTTAATCCTATAGTTTTGCAAAAAAGTTGTTAGAAAATTGAAGGAGAGTCAGTCAAAAAGTTGATGTCTGTTTCGTTCTCTGATACAATAAAATTCAAAAGCTCGATTCCTTGGTCGAACTGTGTTACACCCACTGCTTGAAAGAAAAATGAAATTTCCGCTATGAAACTACTAATATTTTCAGAAGTTACGACATTATGCTTAAATATGATCAAGATTATTTGGGACTATTACGCGCAGTTTTGTGTGTCTATCAATCTTTTTGTCTAAAATTTTCCTTTGGATATCACGAAAAAGAAAAACATCGAACATCGCGTGCTAATCGACTTTCTACAATAAAATGAATGTAAAGTCAAGTGAGAAAGTGGGTCAAAAAATCCACTTTTTACTGTACTAACCTAGATGAATGACCCTATTGATTCTATTGTAAGGGATGAAAGTGAAAAACTATGGAAAGTAAAATTAACATTAGCTGATAATACAGATAATGATATAGAACAATATTCAAAACATTTCGATAAAGAAACCATTGATAAAAAT